AAATATGGGCTATGCTGAGATACTTTCCTTTACTTGGGTAATATTAACTTATCTCACTGAAGAATGACTGCAGACCTTAATGCTTAACCCAGAGTTTTGGTAGGGGGTTTCCTTGCATATTGTTACACTGCTCTGACTGTAATTATCTCACCTTTCCTTTTCCAGAGGCCCTCACCCTACTATGATTACACCCATGGTCCCAGTCTCAGTATCATTGATATACACTCTTATGAAGGTTTCACACGAAAAACATTGTGGTTGCTACATTCACCCATATTATCATCAAGTCCCCCTCATACCCCATTGCAGTCACTGTCCATCAGTGTAGTAAGATGCCACAGAGTCACTACTTGTCTTCTCTGTGCTACAGTGTCTTCCTTGTGACACCCCACACACCATGGGTACCAATCATAATACCCCTCAGTCCCCTTCTCCCTGTCTCTGCACCCCCCACCCCTGCCAAACCTTTCCCCTTTGGTAACGTCTAGTCCCTTCTTGGAGTCTGTGAATTTGCTGCCATTTTGTTCCTTCAGAGACACAGGAGAGCAGAAGTGGACAACAGCTTGTAGGCAATAAATGGATTTCTCCCTTTGACTAATTTCGGTTTCAAAGGTGTTTTGCTTGGGGATTTTCCACCACCATCACCACCAGCCCTGGAGTTACAATAAGGCTTAAAGAAGAAGCCGCCCAAACTCTACTCAGTTGGGGGTTCCATGTGAAGACAGCAAAGGCTTTGCAGGGAGAAAACTTCCTCCCCAACTAGATCCCAAAGGGGTCACAGTCCAACAGAACTAAGGACTGCCCAAACCACACCTCACCCTGGGAAAGGACACGCCCCTGGGGGGAGGGCTGTACAGACGGACCTGTCAGTCAAATAACCCCACGTTGCCGGGCAAAGACGCCATTCCCAGCCAGAATGCAATCCTCGAGCCTCCCACCTAACAGGTCAAGGCCTTTGTCTACCTTGGCTCTGGCCCCCTCCTCCCTGGAGGTAATCAAATCAAACTTCCACTCTGCTTCGCTACTGTGTCTCCGCCTTTGAGTTCTTTGTTGCAGTGGGAACAAGAACCCAGGAGAACAAACCCAACCTGTAACACATGCATTTCCCCTATAGTGGTTTTCAACCTTGGTCACTAAGGAACTTCTGGTTGAAGGAAGAGAGGGAACCAGGGGAAGTGGAGGAGAGGGGATAATACATATAAAAACAGTCATGTAACAACAGCAACCCTACATCAAGCATTTTCTACATACCAAGTTGATGCTAAGGGCTTTACATACATTTTCTCATTGAATCCACATAACAAACTTGGTTTCCTGATCTGGTGGCTACAGAGGTTGGGTTCAGAGTTCTGATTTTGTATAAGGTCTGGCCATCGTCCCTTTGTATATGTCTCTTTGTATCATCTCTTAGAGGAAAATCAATCCCTGTACTGTCAATAACTTAAGCTGGGGAGACGAGGTAGGGAGTGGCACTTGTTGGACAACATGAGAGTTTATCTTTGACTATTGGCTTGATGCTGGGGTTCCTGTTCACGGAGTTGAAGAATGAACTTTGGAAACAGTCAACGTAGGAGAGCAAGGGAGAGGCTTTTATTTAGAGAGAAAGTGAGAAGACAGATCTCCTGGCACACACCAGGAGGGTACAAGAGAGTCCCTTCTTAGTCGCCAAAAATGTTGCTGGGCAGCTGCTTCTGAAGAGGTCTCTCCCTGCTCACGAGGTGAAGCTCTAGGAGAAACCCCAACCTGGACACGGGAGGGAGCTCGACTCTGGGTGAGAAAGAATTCTCGAGCAGGTCAGACGAGTGTAGGTAAAGAAGGAATTCATTAAAGCAGGAGCAGCAGGGAATGGCAGCTGCCTTGCAGGCAGCAGAAAACAGCAAAGTGCAAGGGAAAGAGGGAAAGTTCTCGGCCGAGGACAGATTCCCTTGCCAGCTCCCGAAACCAGGCTCACCTGTCTTCCTGTGTCCTCCTGTATCTGCATAGATGGGGACTAGTCCCACCCCTCCAGGATTTGGGGGAGCCGCGGAGCACAGGATGGAGTGAGATTATGTTCTGAGAATTTCCCAAAGAAAGGAGATTTTCAGGCAGGCTGCTAAGAGCAGCTCACACAGCGGCAGTTCCGTCCAGGTCACCCAGGCGACGGAAACACGCAGGCCCAAATCAAAGTTCTCAGCAACCCCTTCCTACTTAGTAGGAGTAAAGCGGAGACAGAGTGAAGATGTGGAAATAAAGTGAAATAGCAAAGAAATAAACTGCAATAATTTGAGCAGCGAGAGAGCTTTATTTAAGGCAAAAAAGGTGCACTCGGAGAAAGGAAGAGTATGGGCTACCTCAGAGAGGAGGCACCCTGAGAGTTTGGGGAGTCTGTCTTTTAAGGCTTTCAGGAGTGGGGCAAAGGGCAGAGGGGGTGTGTTGGGCATAGACTTGACTTGTGGTCCTAACGTGCTCATCTCTGGTGAGACACTGTCTCCTCTCCTCTGTTATCAGTCTTGCAGCTATTTCTGCTAAATAAACCCAACACAAAGGATTTACTTATCCTGTTCTTCTCCACAATTGTGGTTATCCTCAATCAGTGGGGACCTATCAGTTAAAACTGCCTGGCCTGCCCTAAGATAGGCTGTTGGGCTATTGTCTGAATACCAGAGAATGTGTTAGGAATCTTCTCAACTCTCTGCTTTTTAAAATGGACTCTCAGCCTTACGATGGAGCCCCTCCTGTTCTTGTTACTGAAAGGGTCTCTCGCCGCGACCCTCCTTACCCCGGAACGACTCAGGAGACACGGGCCCACGCAAGAGATTTCATTACTGAAAGAGAAAATGGCTGCCCCCAGAGAGACGGAGCAGCAGCTCGTGGGTGAGGAAGCGCATTTTTAAGGAGTAGGGGTAGGGTGTGTTCTGCGTCGTCGGTGATTGGATCTCAAGGGGTGGGGGTCTTAGAATTTGCCTTCAATTACACTGTTTGTATCTCAGCATTTTTCATCATAGGCAGGTAAAGTTAGTGATGACGCTAGTCTGGTGTCCCTGCCCTACCTCAGGCTCAGCCAACCAATAAAAAGTTCAAAACACATTAATAATGGAAATAAAATTATGATTCAAAATAATTTGCATACTAGAATAATTCTATATGATAGAATAATGTATCCTTGGGTTCATGCCCCTAATCTTACAGTTGTCTTACAGGATAGAAATGTAAATTCCTTCTATTGGAAGGACAGAAATATTAATTTCCTTCTATGATAGAGGGAATGAGGGAGAAATGCAGGTGACTGGCCCAGTCATCCAGGAGGTCAGAGCCTTAGGGGACGTTCTGGGGCAGGGAAAGGAAAAGTGTCAACAGGATTACGAACACTTGTGGTGGAAGTAATTGGGGGCTGGGATCCAGAGACTCTGGGGCGGGAGAAGGTTGGGGGTTCACACTATCCTTCAGCGCAGCGCAGGCACAGACCCAGACCAGTCACAAAGTTTATCTTTCTGTTCTTTAGAAAACTTTAAGGTGATAGGCAATTAAAAGGAAGAAATTTGAATTTAAAAGAACAACTAGTGGATTTGCAAAACATCTCCGGGGGAGCAAGGACCTGAGCGAGCGCAGCGCTGCTGTGGGTAAAATTGCAACATTTCCGGAATCTCTCGCCCGGCCTTAGTGCAACTCCGTATCAGTAGGTGTTTCCAAGGGGTGTAGAGTAGCAGGACGTCTCCATATCAATAGGTAATTAGGAAGGCAAGCACGGGCTTATCTAGACCTGAGAGGTGGGGTGGGGTACCTTTTTGCAATCGGGCGACGGGAGATACCGGCTATCAGAGGTGGACGACTGCTTTTAAGCAATAAACGAGTTTCTCCCACTTTATTTTTCCCTTTGATTTCGATTCAAAGGTGTTTTGCTCCGGGATGGAAAAATATTTCCCCCCCGGAGTTACAGCTGCTTTTTAGTTTTCAATTACAAAACTTTGGCACATCCCTTTACGCATCACGCCACCGACACCAACGGCTCTCCCCCAGCCTTAAGAGGAGGAGGAGGGTCTCCGCATCCCATTCAGGAAGCTGACGTGGGCAGGGGGCCCGCGTGGTCCCGGTCCCGGGAGGCGGACTGCTGAGCCCCAGCAGGGAAGAGAGACGCCCGCAGAGGTGCAAGATCTCGAGCGGCGGCCGCGCGCCGGGCTTTACGGTAACACTGCGCGGCAGGCTTTACGGTAATCCTGCGCGTCTGGTCGCGCCGGCCCGGGCCTCGTACGCAGGCGCTGAGCCGTTGCCGGAGAAACGGTCGCGAGCAGCGCGGAGGCCGCACCCTCCTGGCAGACAGTCCGCGGCCGGCTGGGAGACTCGGCCTGAGGTCCCGGCGTCCGCCTCCCGCCGCGTCCTCGGTGAGTCCACGGCCCTGCCGGTCGCCGGAGCTGGGGAAGCTCCCTCCCTGGCGCGGGGGTTCGAGGCGGGAGGGCGCCGACGAGATTGCAGGGCCCGGATTGTCAGGGCTGAGGAATTCCCGTGCGATAGGGAGCATCCCTGCAAGGGAGTGGACCTCAGCAGCTTAGGGTTGCCCCCCAGAAGTCCGTGGCTGTGGCTCGGTCGGTCCTTATACGACTGGACCGGGGAAGACATCCCAGGAGCCTGGATGCTGAGCCCCGCCTGCAAGTGCCTGTTCAGCCCCAACCCGAGCACCTGCCCTTAATCCTCAGGCCTGCTGCGTGGGACCTGCGCTAGCCCACCAGGAAGCATCCTGGGCCGGCGATTGCTCGCAAGCAGCAGGTTTCAGCTGTGGTTACCCGCAGACCCCGTACGCCCTCTCTACCCTCTTTCTCCCGGGGCCAGTTTGGCGACCGTGGTCGCCGCGGTCTCCCACCTCTGACAGGCCCGGAATGGCTTCTGACATGCGGCAAGACCCGGGTGCTTCGGCTTCCGCGGAATTAGTAGCTGCCTTAGGGCTGGTGTCTTTCCCGGAGGCCCCACCAGTGGCCTTCAGCTATCCAGGACTTCTAGGCATGTGAAAAGGGACCTCCCCAGGGGAAACGAGATCCCATGTGGACCCCAGAAGGAGCGCTGGAGGCTCTGGCCCCCGGACGCCTTCCCCGTCCCTTCGCAGCCGGGGGCAGTCCGGGTCAGTGGCCGAAGTTCTCCAGGGAAACAGGCCGATGGCAGCCGGTGAGGAGGGGACGCGGGCTCTTCATCTCGGAACCCCCGACCCCCACCCACCGTGAGGGCCGCAGGTGCCCCAGGCCAGGTGTACCGGGGGAAGCAGGAGGCCACGGGTGCTGTGGGCATTTTGTGCAGAGTTCAGACGGAGCCCCGTCTTGTCCTCCACCCCCGTGCTCTCAGGAAATTGCCTAAGGCTGTAAACCCTGCCTCCCGCCGGCAATGGAAACTAGACCTTGTCCCCAACGAACTCTCCCGGCATTACACCCCGTGCGGCTTTCGTGAGTCCGTTTGAGATGATGACTCTTTCCTCTTCCTGATGCTTAGGATCCGTCAACATGAATCCCGTGGTCGTGGTCCATGGCGGCGGGGCCAGCAGTTTCTCCAAGGACCGGAAAGAGCGGGTGCGCCAGGGTGTCGTCAGAGCCGCCACCGTGGGCTACAGCATCCTCAAGGAGGGAAAGAGCGCGGTTGACGCCGTGGAAGGAGCCGTGACCGTCCTGGAAGATGATCCCGAGTTCAACGCAGGTAGATTTGCACTGCAACTACTAAGTGATGCCAAACAGGGTGCAGCTTCTTCCCCAGAACATAGAGAACTTTCTAAAGTGTCAGTGAATCTCATCAGCTATGTGGTAAAATTTAATACACTGAAGAGATTTAACTTTACTCTTTACCCATTGACCAAGTTGCTTTAAGAATTGTGAAATCCATCAGTGCACCCTTTTTTTTTTTAACCCGCTTCCTGGAATTCAGGTAGCAAGAGGCTTTTTGTTTGTTTTGGCTTTTATTATCATTATTTTTTTTTAATTCATCAGATGTACAGCACAATGGTTCAACAGTCCCCCTGCCTCTTGGTAACCACTGGTCACTTCTCAGCATCCATGAGTCTAACGCTGTTTTGTTCCTTCTGTTTTGCTTTGTTTCAAATTCCACAAATAATTGAAATTGTAATGGTATTTGTCTTTGCCTGGCTTATTTCAGTGAGGATAATACCCTCCAGCTCCATCCATGTTGTTGCAAATGGGAGGATTTCTTTTCTTTTTATGGCTGAATAATATTCTATTGTGTATATGTACCATATCTTCTTTATCCATTCATCTACTGATGGACACTTAGGTTGCTTCCATATCTTGGCTATTGCAAACAGTGTAGTGATAAACATAGGAGTGCATATAACTTTTTGAATCAGAGATTTTGTTTTCTTTGGATTAACTCCTAGGTCTAATGGTATTTCTATTTCTAGTGTTTTGAGGAACCTCCATGCTGCTTTACTGTAGTGACACCAATTTGCAGTCCCACGAACAGTGTAGGAGGTTTCCTATTTGTCTGCACCTTCACTAGTATTTGTTATTTCTTGTCTTCTGGGTAGTAGCCATTCCGACTGGTGTGAGATGATATCTCATTGTAGTTTTAATTTGCATTTCCCTGGTTATTAGCAACATGGAGCGTCTTTTCATGTGCTTGTTGGCCATTTTCATTTCTTCTTTGGAGAAGTGTCTGTTCAGGTCCTCTGCCCACTTTTTGATTTGGTTATTTTTTTGGAGGGGTATTGAAGCAGATGAGTTATTTATATATTTTGGATGTTAAACCCTTATCAGATGAGTCATTTACAAATATATTCTGCCATACTCCAGGATACCTTTTTATTCTGCTGATGGTGTGTGTCCTTTGCTGTATAGAAGTTTTTTAGTTTGATGTAGTCCCACTTGTTCATTTTTTATTTTGTTTCCCTTGCCCAAGGAGATGTGTTCAGGAAACAGTTGCTTATGTTTATATTCAAGAGATTTTTGCCTATGTTTTCTTTTAAGAGTTATGATTTCATGACTTACATTCAGGTCTTTGATCCATTTTGAGTTTACTTTTGTACATGGAGTTAGACAATAATCCAGTTTCATTCTCTTACATGTAGCTGTCCAGTTTTGCCAACACCAGTTGTTGAAAAGGCTGTCTTTTCCCCATTGTATATCCATGGCTCCTTTATCATATATTAATTGACCTTAAATGGGTGGGTTTATATCTGGGCTCTCTATTCTGTTCCACTGGTCTATGGGTTTGTTCTTGTGCCTATACCAAATTGTTTTGATTATTGTAGCTTTGTAGTACAGCTTGAAGTTAGGTAGTATAATCCCCCCACCTTTGTTCTTCTTCCTCAGGATTGCTTTGGCTATTCAGGGTCTTTTGTGGTCCCAGTGAATTTTAGAACTGTTTGTTCTAGTTCATTGAAGAATGCTGTTGGTGTTTTGATAGGGATTGCATTAAATCTGTAAATTGCTTTGGGCAGGATGGCCATTTTGACCATATTAGTTCTTCCTATCCATGGGCATAGGATAGATTTCCATTTTTTTGGTGTCTTCTTTAATTTCTCTCATGAGTGTCTTGTGGTTTTCAGAGTATAGGTATTTCACCTTGGTTAGGTTTATTCCTAAGTATTTTATTCTTTTGATGCAATTGTAAGTGGAGTTGTTTTCCTGATTTCTCTTTCTGCTAGTTCATTGTTAGTATATAGGAATGCAACAGATTTCTGTGTATTAATTTTGTATCCTGCAACTTTGTTGAATTCAGTTATATTATTTTTTGGTGGAGTCTTTAGGGTTTCTATGTATAATATCATGTCATGTGCAAACAGTGAGAGATTAAATTCTTCCTTACCAATTTGGATGCCTTTTATCTCTTTGTGTTGTCTGATTGCCACAACTAGGACCTCCAGTACTATGTTGAATAAAAGTGGTGAGAGTTGGCATCCTTGTCTTGTTTCTGATCTTAGAGGAAAAGCTCTCAGCTTTTTGCTATTAGGTGTGATGTTGGCTATGGGTTTGTCATATATGGCCTTTATTATGTTAAGGTACATACCCTCTATACCCAATTTGGTGAGAGTTTTTTTCATGAATGGATGTTGAATTTTGTTGAATGCTTTTTCAGCATCTGTTGAGATGATCATCCGGTTTTTATCCTTTTTGTTAATGTGTATGATATTGATGGATTTATAAATATTGTACCATCCTTGCCTCCATGGAATAAATCCCACTTGGTCATGATGGATGATCTTTCTGATATATTTTTGAATTTGGTTTGCTAATATTTTGTTGAGGATTTTTACATCTATGTTCATCAGGATATTGGTCGGTAATTTTTGTGTGTGTGGTTTCTTTGCCTGGTTTTGGTATTAGAGTGATGCTGGCCTCCTAGAATGATTCCCCCTCCTCTTCTATTTTTTGGAATGCTTTAAAAAGCATGGGTACTTGCTCTTTAAATGTTTGGTACAATTCAGCTGTGAAGCAGTCTGGACGTGGAGTTTTGTTTTTGAGGAGTTTTTTGATTACCAGTTCAATTTCACTGCTGGTAATTGGTCTGTTCAGGTTCTCTGTTTCTTCCTGGGTCAGTCTTGAAAGGTTGTGCTTTTCTAGGAAGTTGTCCATTTCTTCTAAGTTGTCCAATTTATTGGCATATAATTTTTCATAGTATTCTCTAATAATTTTTTGTATTTCTGCTGTATCCCTTGTATTCCTTCTTCATTTCTGATTCTGTTTATGTGTGTACACTCTTTTTTTCCTGATAAATCTGACTAGGGGTTTATCTGTTTTTTTATTTTCTCAAATAACCAGCTCCTGGTTTCATTGATTTTTTTAATTGTTGTATTCTTCTCTATTTCTGCTCTGTCCCTCCTTCTACTGACTTAGGGTTTCATTTCTTCTTTTTGTAGTTATTTAATTGTGATTTTAGACTGTTTATTTCGGATTGTTCTTGTTTCTTGAGGTAAGCTTGTATTGCTATATACTTTTCTCTTTGAACTGCCTCTGCCCCATCCCACAGATTTTGGGCTGTTGTATTTTTGTTTTCATTTGTCTCCACATATTGATCAATTTCTGTTTTAATTTGTTCATTGATCCACTGATTATTTAAAAGCACATTGTTTAGCCACCATGTGTTTATAAGTCTTATAAGTCTTTTTTTTCTTTGAGTAATTTACTTCTAGTTTCATACCATTGTGGTCTGAGAAGCTGCTTGATACAGTTTCAGGCTTTTTTACTTTATTGAGGTTCTTCTTGTGGCCTCGTATGTGATCTATTCTGGAGATCATTCCATGTACACTCGAGAAAAATGTGTATCCTGCTGCTTTTGGGTGGAGTGTTCTGTAGATATATTTTAAGTCTGTTTGATCTAATGTATTGTTCAATGCCTCTGTTTCCTTGTTTATTTTCTGTTTGGTTGATTTGTCTATTGATGTGAGTTGCATGTTAAATAAAGTCTCCTGAAATGAATGTGTTACAATCTATTTCATCCTTTAATTCTATTAGTATTTGTTTTACATATTTAGGTGATTCTGTGTTGGGTGCATAGGTATTTATAACGATTATATCCTCTTTTTGGGACTGATCCCTGTATCATTGTGTAATGTCCTTGTCTCTTGCTACTTTCTTTGTTTGAATTCAGTGTTATCAATATAAATACTGCTTTATGCTGCTTTTTTCTCTCTATTATTTGCATGGAATATCTTTTTCCATTCCCTCACTTTTAGTCTGTGTATGTCTTTGGGTCTGAAATGAGTCTCTTATAGGCAGCATATAGATGGGTCTTGTTTCCTTATCCATTCTTCCACTCTGTGTCTTTTGATTGGTACATTCAGTCCATTTATATTTAAGGTGATTATTGATAGGTATGTACTTATTGCCATTCTGTTGTTTTCTGCTGTTTTTTATATCTCCTCTCTGTTCCTTTCTTCCTCTCTTATTCTCTTGTTATTGGTGGTTTTCTTTAGTGTTATAATTGGATTTCTCTCTTTTTAAAATTATTTATTTGTGTGTATGTGTATTTATTGTTGGCTTTAGTTTTGTGGTTACCAAACATTTAAGGGTAGCTTCTTTACTATGTAACAGTCTATCTTAAATCACTGATTACTCTATTTCAAACACAATCTAAAGCTACTTTTTTCTTCTTCTTCCTCTTCCACATTTTTCATATTAGATGTCATAATCTGCACTTTTTGTGTATCCCTTGACTGATTTTGTGTATAGTTGATTTTGCTTCTTTTGTTTTAATTTCATACTTGTTTGGCAGTTAGTTGTTCTACTACTGTTACTATGGGCTTATTTTTACTGGTGAAAGCTATTTAGGCATAGGGTCATTTCCATCTATAGCAACCCCTTTAACATATTGTAAGACTGGCTTAGTGATGGCACATTCCTTAACTTTTATGTATCTGGAAATTGTTTAATCCCTGCTTCAAATTTAAATGATAATCTCCCTGGATAGAGGATTCTTAGCTGGAGGTCCTTCTGTTTCAGTACATTAAATATATCATGCCACTCCCTTCTGGCTTTAAGAGTTTCTGTTGAGAAGTCTGCTGATAGCCTGATGGGGTTTTCTTTATAAGTAATCCTTTTTCTCTGGCTGCTTTCAACACTCTCTCCTTATCCTTGATTTTTGCCATTTTAATTTTTATACATGTTGGTTTTGTCTTGCTGGCTTTCCTTGTATTAGGGGATCTCTGTGCTTCATGACCTGAGTGTCTATTTCCGTACCCAGATTGG